CACAACATGCCAGAGTGAATTAAACCGTTTGTCAGACAGGATCCATTGCGATTTACTCAATTTAATGGTAATAAAAGTGTAAACTTTGGATTCAGAATATCAGTTTTAAATAACCCAGGCTCTTACCACGCAGCATTGAGGAAAAAAACCAAATTACCTTTCACAAGGTCCGAATTTCTCCTGACAGTGATTGCTCCAGAGAGTGGCTTTCCTGTCGTGCTGTTCCAGTTGGCTGCAAGGAAGGTGCCAGATCGATGCACTTATAGGCAACGCTGCTCAAGGCTGCTCCTCCAAGAGGGACGTTCCCCTTCCTTTGCCTGCAGGGCTGTGGGATCCTGCTGGACTCCAGAGGGACCTGTGGTGCCTGAGGACTGGCTGGTTGGATGCACAGAGCACCGTTGAGTGGGTTGGATTTGGGCAGGCAAACCCTCTGCCTGGCCCTACCTCCTGGCAATGAGGTGGTGTCAGCTCTGGCACAACTTCTGGGGCTGGAGGTACCATCCTGCTGCCTACTCCAGTTGTCCAGCCCCAGGGATTTCCGCTGGGCCTCCCAAGGGTGTTTAAAATAATAAAAAAAAAAAATATAAAAAAAAAAAAAATCACCTTTTTCAACCTTTTCTTGGCCAGCATGATGGAGGTGATTGCATTTGCTCTTGTAGCGTGCCAAGGGAGGCCCCCTTCAGGAAGCTGATGGGGGTAGGAGCCTGATTAGGACTAATTTTGAACTTAAAACTGTCCCTCCTCCATACCTTTTTTGCATATTTCAAACAACCAGACCCATATTAGAAAAAGAGTGTAGGGAAAAAATAATCCTGTGATCCATGCATATCCTGACTGGAACTCAGTTCATTCTTTCTGAATCTGGCTCCCATACCCTTTTTCATACAGATTTACATTCCTACAAGAGGATACATTCCTACCATACATTCTGTACATGTTACAATCCAGATGTTGTTAGCTTCACAATAAAATAAATATATTTACAGAAGAAAAAAAAAGAATAAATAATTTATGAAAAAAATCACTTCAAATCCAAAGCTCTTTTATTCTGCTCCCATCTTGTCACTTCATTGCACGTTAATGTCTATCTCCATCCCTGGTGTAGGTCTCAGAGAAATTCCATGCATGGTTGCTGACAGGACCACGGCAAAGGCCAAACTAGAGCCAGCCAGTGACTGTGCACGGAGAAAGTCACAACCAAGCCCTTCCTGTCCTGGCCTGCACCAGCCTTCCCAACCTTTTGCTGAGTCTCATAAGTCTCAAGTATGCTTCTGTCCTATGGGATTCCTGTAAGGATTCTGCCACAGGACATGTGCTTCAGCACCAAGGAGCCACAGACATCGTCCAAGTGGTGAAGTGGATTCAGAGCTTTGTGGATACAAAACCTTCAACTAACCCCACTTAACATAGGTCTCCAAAAATGGCATTGATGGGAGCTTTTGCCTTTGTGGTATTTGTGTAATTATGTTACTGTGTAAATATGTAAACTCCCCCCAAAAATGGCAGCTCCAGCATACTGCAAACCAGTTTTTAACCATGGCAAGGCAAGTGCCTACCAAGTTACCATGTGAAGCTGGTGGTGTTACAGGTCTGTGCAGACAACACCCCTGTCTAAGGTGTTCCCAGGTACCAGAAGGGCAGAATCAGACAGGGTTGCTGGTTCTCCCACAAGGGCCGAGGACTGTGGCTGAGCAAGGGCCAGGTGTGAGCCAAAACTGTCCCTCCTCCTTCCCCACCCCTCCCTTCCCATGGTCCCTCAGGCTACACTTGGTCAATGGTTTCCTGTTCGAAGCAATAACTTACTTTCTTTTTAGGCTGCGTAAGAAAATACTCCTGCAAATCCATCAGCATCCCAGTGCTTCACCCAGTTCAGCTTGGGAAAAAAGAAGAAAGCAAACCCACCCCCTCAGCCAGTGCCCCCCCTCTCCTGCCCCAGCCCCACGTCTCACCCTGGGAGCCAGAAGCACGTTTTGCAGCTCTACACAATGCATTTCATTTCCATTAGGAGTTCCTTCATTGCAAAAACGTATTTGCTTTTATCCTGTGTCTGTGTGCATATCTACGTTACATCTATCTATATACTAATAAATATATATGGCCTGTTTTAAAGTGCCAATTTAATAATAAAAAGCCCCCTCCTTAAAAGGCAGGCAAGACCCAATTTCTTCCATGACAAGAAGGGAGCAGAACTGACTGAATATTGCCAAATGACGTAAAACATAATTTAAAATTTCTTAAATAAATATAAAAGTTATTCCTAAAGAAGCCATAGGCATGTCAACAATACAGGTTGTAACCGGCACTCAACAACTAAAGTACCATTGGAAAACTAAAATGCCATAGCAACTTCAGCAATAGGCATGATACATTGCAAACATTTTTTTTCTTTTTAAATTAAATGTACACCACAATGAACTTAAAAAAAAAAACAAAAAAAACCAACAAACCAAAAGCTATTGGTGCAGTAAGGAGAAGACTTCTCAGGTGTTACGGGGAAGGGGACCATGCATAGAAAGCTGTGTCTGTATATTCGTTGTAAAACGGGTCTATAAAGTGTAAAGCAGGTAACACAGTTGATACAAGAACCCAACTCTATACGAGATGCCAAGTGATGTCACGTGACTGGCTCCAGTTTCAACAGCAATGGATATTAAAGCAAGTCCATCCAGTGCAGGTACGAGATGAGCTTCACTGCAGTAATACTGAAGTTGCCTTTTTTTCAGCACTTAGCACAGTGAGGTGGGAGAGGGGAGGAGAAATGCTCCAAGAAAGGGTGGGCGGGCGCTCTCAGCCCCACTCTCCCGCCCCGTGCCCGTCAGTCAGGAGGATTTCCAGGAGAGGTTGGCTCTCGGTGGGTGATGGGCACGTTGCTCCCTGCCAAAACCGTTCCCAGGAGCTTCAGGTGAGGGAGTGCTGATGTGCCGCCATGTTGAGGCTCCGTGTCCGGTGGGATGGATGCCCTGGCACAGGGATGCCCTGGCACAGGGACGCCGGCGGGCCCAGGGACAGCCCAGTGCCGGGGCGGGAGCTGCGGCCACAGCAGCGCTCGGGGACCTCTTTGGGGGAAGTTCCACAACTGTTTCCTGCCAACTGCTTCACATACGTGTTGGAAAAGGACATGGCTCTAAGTTTCGGGAATCACAGTAGTGCGCAGTGGGTACAGCAGGGAGCAAACACTTGTGAAACTCCGACAGAAGCAGCTCCCAGCCCTTTCTTAAAGCACTTTTTTTTTTTTGTTTGCATTCAGGGAAACCGACTGCAGGCTTATTTGATCCAATTTTCTCTTTGCACCATACACATATAAAACATTACAACTCTGTATAAAAGTACAAGTGGTTCTTGTACATCTGAATTATGCAGGAACTATGTGAGCAAATCCTATCAAAATAGCTATTTTTTGTGTGTATAAACAGCATTTGTTTTTAGAAAAAACAATATCATAAACTGCAGAATCTGTACAAAAATATAAAATAAATTTGGGCAGCAGTTTCTAAACAGCCATGTAAATGCAACACTTAAAGAGGAGCAGGTTAATGCCTCCAAAAGGCTGAATTGCTAAAGTCAACCTATACAGGGCTAAAATGGTATTGAGATTATCTAAATAATAAAATTTTTTACCTCTTGCAATAAAACTTATAGAAAAAATAGACAAGTATGCACATGCAATTTACAGCTTTCCCCAACATAATCCTTGTGCTTAGCTTTCACCTTTTTTTTTCCTTTTTTTTTTTTTTGTAATAACATAACATTGTCTACAATACATATTCTTTCCTATACCAGGATATTCGGTCTTCCTTGAGGAACCACTTTTAAAAAAAATACATTAGAAGTGGTCATACATGGATGAAGGCACTCCAACTCTGCTCGAAGCAAAAACTAGTGTGATCCTTTTCTTTTCAAAAAAGGCAAGCAAGGATGCATGCACAGTGCTGTGAATTGGGGCTGGGAGGAACTATGGAAATACTACCAAGTGTATATACTGGTACTTAAAATAAAAAAAAAAAAAAACCAAACAAAAAAAAAACCAAGAAGTTGCTATATTTCTAATATTTTAAGACCCAACAAGCACCTCCATGATGTGATCCAGTTCTGTGAGATCCATTTTGAAAGGCTGATTTGGAGTTACTGGCTGACTGCTGTACGGAGCGAGAGTTTTTAGGAGCTCATCTGCTGAGACAGGAGCCATTTTTGAGGCAGCCCCCGTGGCAGACGTGCACGGGTCAAAATCATACATGGACGTATCAATGTCAGCGAACAGAATGTCATCCAGGGTCAAGTCTGTGAGGAAACCTGTGGAAGCTGTGATCTCAAAGTTGCCGGGTAGAGAGTCCATGAGTTTGGATTCAGCCGTCCTGCTCTCCGGGAGGCCCTCGGGCTTGTGGATGTTGGACTCGCTGGGATGGGCTTTAGAGTCGTCGGCTGCTGTTTCGGCTGCTACTGCCTCTGCGGAGGTAGGTGCTGGACAAAGCTCCTCGATTTCGTCCAAGGCTGAGGAGAAGCTGTCCTTTACTGGTTGGAGAGCGGGAGGTGGTGGTTTTGTCGGACCATCGTGCTGGACAGTCGGGGAAGTGCAAAAAGTGTCGTCCTCGAGCAAAGAGGCTGGGGTGAGGCAGGATTCCAGGGGCATAGTGCTTACGAAGTCAGTGGGGAGCAGGGGCTGGGAGGCGAGGTGGCTGAACGCCGGCTGGGCCTCGCGGAAGTTGTCGCTGAGAGGGTCGGCAGGCTGGGAAGCGGTCACAAACATGGGCCTCAAGCTGCCTTCTTGTTTGAGTTCTTCCTGGATTCGCCTCAACATGTTGTTAATTAAAACTGTCTTTTGCAAGCTTGGCTCGGTTAATGGCCTGTGGTTATAAAGTTTCATAAGGGAAATGTTGAAGATAGTCTGACGCTGTAAGGTGTAAGACACCTTAGAGGGACCGTCAGTGGGAGACACCACTTTGCCTTCCAACCCATCTTCATGCTCGTCAAACTTCCGCTTTCCTCCTTTCCCCAACATATATCTGAAAGGAAAAAGAGGAGACCCATGAAGACAGCAAAGCCCAGTGCCACACTGTCCACACAAACAACTCAGTCTTGGCCCACAGCAGCGTGACAAGGAAGCAGAAGCCGCCTTAACGCAGTGCCCTCTTCCATCCTGTTTCGGCGTGGCTATGCTGGTGAATCCCAAGCAGGGAATCAAACAGCATCTCTAATACTCAAGATCTTGCATGCTTGGCAGGAAATTTCCCTCTTGCAGACATTATGGTCCCCAAATATCTGCACAGAGTTGCACAGGCTACATATACTGTAGAGAACGTTTCTTTACGTTTCCTGACCGACGCAGTGCTATGCCTGGGAACACAAACTTAAAGCACCAAGGTTCTTACAATGAATTTCCTTTATTATTCAAAAGCTTGCTCACGGGGGAAGGGAAGCAAGGCTCAAGCAATTGTATTTTAAGAGAAACCTTCCCAGAGAAGTTGGGAGATCCAGCCCTTCGGTACACCAGGATATACGCATATGGGTTTATTTAACTGATCGCCTAAGGACTGAACAACCAGAGCAGGAAATGCAGTTATTGCACTCAGAATTAGATAAATTACAGATAAAGAAGAAGATCTGTCAAGTCTTTTAGTCTAATCCCCAAGATCACTCTCTGCACTACACTCTGCTGTTGGTCAGATGGCAGATTTTTGAAGGAAACAAAGGGGATTTTACCAAACTTGCCCCGCCTTGTAAATAATTTCTGAGCTAAGATTAAGTAGGGCAGTTCAATCCCCAGTGCTATCTCTTCCAGGATGTTTCACAGCACCTGGAAATGCTCCTCTACACAGCACAGCCCCAACCTCATTTTGTCACCATTATTTTTGTGACATGAAGATCCCCCCAAATGCAGAGGAATGAAGGAATTGCTGTGCTGTGACAACAGCACAACCTGACGTTCTCCTCTCTCATTTTCCCAGGTACAGTGGTGAGGTGCTGGAGCCCTAAACCACTCACTCTTTTAATAGGATCACAGGCAGCTCCCTGTTCATTTTAACGTGTTTAACATTTTAGCTCTCTGTTTAACAAAACTCTAATAAAATGGCATGAAGATTTCTGCCTTGTTTAAAAAAAAAAAAAAGAAAAAGTAGAAGAGGCTTTTCAGCCACAGCTACCCGGAAAGAAGTTGCAACAGCAATACAAACTTTTACCCCAAACCTGACTCCTCTCATATAATGTATCTACTGTCTAGGAGACAAAATCCACCTTCCTTATTTGAGTACAATTCCCACTTCTCCCAGTGGGATTGATGGCTGTGAAATGACTGCACCAGGCAGGTCTACCACCAGTTTGATGGTCATACACCAGTTCTGCAGACAGACAATGTAGGTAAGGACTTACAAACATACCCAAGAATGAATGACAAACATTTAAGAGCAAAGAGCCCTTTGGAAAGCAGGAGAGGGGACAAAAGAAGCCAGAAGAAAAGGGCTTCAGAAAGCATTTGCTGGGTGGTAAATCCAAAATCAGATTGGGTGAAGTGAGCCTCTTCTGGTTAAAAATAAGTCCCAAATCCAGATAATTTTCTAGCATATTATGCAATTAAAAAAAGAAAGGCAGGGGGAGGGAGTAAGCTGAGCAGAGCTGAGGAACAGGTAGGCTGCCATCCAAGCTCCTTGGCCAGCTACCAGCAATTCCCGCGCCTGGAATCTTGGGTGAACAAAACCTCTGAAATTTAGCACTACTGCCGAAGTCTGGCTTTTCTCTGCTCCCTAGTGTCACTTCCACAGACTACTCCAGAGCTGTGCACACAGGTTTGGAGTGTGAGGGGGGGGGGGCTTTGCTGTTCAAATGTTCATGGTGGACACATTTCCTTCCACTTTGGACAGATAGAGCAAGAAAGGGAGGATCAGGCTATCAACAATCGAAACCCTTGCCCAATTCCAGCACGTTTTTAAAGCAGCAAGGCGTTAGGAGGAGAGGTAGCAGTTTTCCATCCCTTCCTGCTATCTCCTCCCCCTGAAAAAAGACAGACTCTGTCCTAAAGACATACCAATGCTCGTTCCGCAATACTCTATTTAAAGAAGACGTTTTTAAATGGCTTGGGGACTAGAAGAGTTTTGAAGTTTGTCAGCCTCTGCCAGGAATGTATACAAACATCCACTGGACAAAGCAAACCTTTTCCCCCACGATAAAGAAAACAGCCCAGGCTCTGTTCCCTGTGCTCAGTTATTAATTATTGACAGGCGACATCGGAAGCATTTCGAACGAACCCAATCGAGCCCACTTCCACCCAAGCGTGAGGTGCTGGTAGTTAACACGTTTTTTTAAGCTGATCAGTTAAGAGCTGTGGCATCATCATTGAGTAAACACCACGATAACCTCACTACGTCATTTTCCAGGAAGCTCAGAAATGATTCAAGGTTTCCTGTATGGGTGACTGTCAAGCTTTCACACCTCACTCGATCTTCACGTAGCTCGATTCAGAGCTTGCCCTTTTAAAAGATAAAATAGATCAGGCAACTCCCAGTTTCACCTACCAGCTTTTCAGCACAACTTTCAATTTCCTTTTCCCCCTGCTAATACTCTCTGAGAAGAGGGTTTAACCACTAAAGCACCAAAGCAGGATGCCAGCCTAAGCATGGGGGGTTTATTCCACCAAGGAGGGGGCTCAAATGAGCACCGCTAGACTGTCAAGCTTTATAAAGTTTTATTTTATTCCCTTCTCCTCTGGCATGCAAACGGGAATTGTAAAAACCTTTTCCTCTGGTTTCCATAAGTTGCTTTATTCATGCTAAGTGAAGCAAGGAGGCAGTATCTTTTTAGACCAGCTGATAGAGTTGGTAAAAGCAGACATGTTTGTGGGCTTGCAGGTCTTTCTCTGGTTCTCCATAAAGGAATTACATAGTTTCTGACCACGGGAGCTTAAGACAATGTTGCCTGCTTGATCTTTACAGTTCTAACCATCTCTTCCCTCTTTCAACCAACAGCATCACACCTACATTAAAGAGATCATTTTTGTATGTCTTTAAGATTCTCAACACTATTTTTTTTTAAAAAAGGAAGCTGTACAATACCAGCATTTGATCTGAGTCAGTTCTGTTCATCTCAAAAGCTTTGCTCCTAGGCTTCCCAGCCAAAGCTCTTGCTGGGAAAACGAAAATGCCAGACTTGCAGATCAGCTTGACCAAAGATCAGTACAAGATGAGCTAAACCTGCACCATGCCAAGTGTCAAAAGACAGAGTTGTCCTACCACGTCATACAGCCCTAACGGGGGCAGCCAGACAACAGCAACCCACCCAAATGCAAGACTGGACAGGCAGAGATCAAGGGGCACGTTCGTGGAGGGTCTTTCATGCATCTATTTTGGCTGAGCACCAACCTCAGCCAGATGTATTTCTGCTGCATTTTCATCCATCCACTAAACATCACTTTGAGGTCAAGTGTGAAGAGTTGAAACGGGACGTCGCTTTGTTGTTGTTGTTGTTGTTGTTTTAATAAAGGGTGTTGCAGGGTTTTGGTGTGCAACTTAAGTTTTCAGTGTTACTTAGGTATGTGGAACCAGAAAGCTGAAGAAAGACAATGAATGGAAAAGCTGCACTTATCTGGGGATTGGGGTGGGGGGAGTTACTTGGAGATCTTCCCCACTATTAATCTACCACTTGGCTCCAGCTCTGGAAGACTCAGAACCAAAAGCTAAACCATTGTTGCTGAGAAAGATTCAACTTGCTTTTTTGCCCATTTAGGGTGATTGCACGCGCCTCAGCGCCAGAGAAACCCTAGCATTGTTTGGGAGTTGTCTTTTCTTAATTGAAAAACAAAAGTAATATTTTCTTCTTTTTTTTTTTTTTTCATTTGCATATCATTTAGCTTCCTTTTATTGGCTCTGCATGCTTTTCAGACAGAGCTGGGAAAAAAATGTAGTTGGGGCTCAGCAGAAGAGATAATCAGCCTGGAGCGGATGGTTCTCTGGAGTCGACCATCATCGATTAAGTACAGGAAAGCTTGTGCAATGCCTGCGTCTCTGAGCCCACTTAGTGACGAATCCTTGGCTCTCTGGAGCACAGAGGTACGTGCACGCTGCGAGAGTATTATATTTATTGACTGTGCTTTGGACGTTACACCTTGTCACTGCTGGACTATTCCTGAAGTCCTTAACAATCGGGAGTTTGGCGCAAAAAAAAAAAGCATCAGATATGTAAAAAATTGAGAGGAAAAGTGATTTGGCTCACCAATAATAAAAATAATCTTTAATGTTAATTCTCAAACACTTTTAACTATTAAGTTTTAAATGTCTTTCAAGACTGAGGGCTCTTCTTGGAAATCAATTCTACAATCCATTAGGCTCTCCCTCCTCATCAAGGCAGACAGGAAGGACAAAAAGAAAGAGGAACTGAACCCCAAGAACAACGGAAAAGGGTTTTTAAGAAGTCATATTTCCCACTCATAGATTTACGCCACCCTCTTGGTCAGTGTAGAGGATGAACAGCTGAATAGAGTGAGGTTCACTTTTAGAACCAACACCATGTTGCTCAAAAAGCTAAAAGCACCCAATCCCAAAGTCCACGAGCAATCATTCCTCCCCACGCAGCCAAAAGCTGAAAGACAGGTGTGAACCACAGGGGCCTGCGTGAGAAGTGGAGTTTGACGCGGGACCAGTTACTTTCTGAAATCTTGGGTAACTAAAACCACGGGGGGGAAAAAAAGGAGAGAAAAAGAAAAAGGCAACCTGGGGAAATTAAAATAAAACACTACTTCAGACATGTGCATGAAACCCCCAACAAAAGCCCTCAACACAAAAGCTCCCTATAAAAGCCCCCCAAAATGCTATGAGAGTACTGAGTTTGCACATTTCACTCCCAAAACAAAGTTTCACACACCTCAAGTGTAAGTGAACCTCACCAGGGTTTCTCAGAGAACCTATCCAGTGAATTATGCAAGTGCTTTCTGTGTCACTTCTGGCATATGAAACACAACTTTCCTCCATACCTCACTCTTCATCCTTGAGGGTTCCATTGGCTGTATCCTGGCCCAACA